CGTTTTGACAACCCCATCTTTGACGATTTGTAATGTTTTCTTGGATTAGCAGAATGGCTTCAAAATTTTTAGGCGTAGGTTACATCATAGAGAACTCACAAAAAACAATTCAGAAAAAAAAAATTATTTTTAGGCCCTGAACTTGTTTTTGGCGGGGGCCGAACCTGGAGGTGTTCGGCCCCCGAACGGGACCCCCAACGCCCGAACGTTTGGGGACCAGCCCGGGGGCCCCCGAACGTTCGGTCAGGTAACCCTGTACACCACTATATTTAAATTTGTCATTTTGTGCATGTGGAGAGCAGTGGAGGGAGGGCCGCTTCTCTCCATTTGACCTTGCATTATGTGAGTGAGCCCGTGGCATGTTGTGGCCTCCAGCACCAGGCCTGGGAGGCCCGACATTTTCTCAGGCAGGCCCTTTTTTGGACCCAGGAACAGCTAAGAGGGCCTCAGCGATAATGAAGGCCCTAGGCGAGTGAGTTGTCAGGCAGGCATGTGGATATTCTGTCTTTTCTAGTTCCGTTTCTCTCCATTTTACCTTGCATTCTGCGAGTGAGCCTGTGGCATGTTGTGGCCTCCAGCACCAGGCCTGGGAGGCCCTGATATTGTTTCGGACAGTCCCTTATTGGGCCGAGAAACAGCTAAGAGGGCCTCAGCCATCATGAAGGCCCTAGGTGGATATTTAGTTCATTTATTTATGTCTTTACGATTTTGATTGCTGCATATTTTGTTAGGTGGCGGTCTGTGTTCTCCGAGTCCAGATTGCATCATTTCGTTGTTTAAATGAACAGGCACAGGTACATTCTGTTGGACCTTTGGAGGGTAACATTCCACGTTTTGGCCCAGCTTGTCTGGTTGTGGCTGGGCCTAAGTCCGTCCATCGTGCTCAGGTCAGCTTGAGGCCAGGCCCTCAATCTGAGGCAGCGGGTTGGACGTGGGTGTATGTGTAGGGATCCAGGCCACACATTTTCCGGCTTGAGTGAGTGCGTTAGGAGAACTTAGAACCATGGCCTCGTACCTGGGCCATCGACCATGGTGTGATCCAATTGCCTAGGGGAGAGGCCAGGTAGAGCGCCCACTGGTGCAGTCGTACTCAGGGAGAGGCTGGTCAAGTGTGTTGCAGTTTGGTTCATTCATATGTTGCCACCAGGCTGCTGGATTGCCTAGTTAGAAGAAGTGTAGCATTGAGTACAGTTAGAAGAAGTGTGTGATCGAGGAGACCACTTACCTGACACCATTGCTTGGAGGTCTGCAAACGGCCATAACCTGTCTTCTTCTTTGAGGTACCTGCATGGCATCAGTGGGTTGACACTGCCTTTTCACGGGTCATTATCTCAGAGAGGCACACACACACACAGACAGACTAACACAAATTCCGATCTTGCTAGCTCTCTGTCTTGGCAGATTTGAGTGGCTAGGATTGTGGTCGGATGATTTGTTGGTTCTTTATTCATACATGGCCTAATTCTTTGCCCTGCTGTAGAGCATGGACTGTCTCTTGACGAAGGCATGGTTGTGGGTGGCCACAATGTTTTTGGGCAAGAATGTTTGTTTGGAGTCATGGTCACGGTATCTTCGCGAGGAGGCTCAGAGAGTCTTTGCTGTGGGTGTCACTCCCACGGGTTGCCCTTTTGGAGCACATGGAAGATGGTGGTGCTTCCATGGTGTTTTAAGCAGTAGTGCTCCTGGTGTCGCGTGGAGATTCTGTGAATATATGCTTGGAGTTCTGGGCATAAAGTCTTGGCGAGGAGGCTTAGAGAGTGTTTGCTGTGGGTGCCATTCCCATGGGCTGCTCTTTCGGAGCACATGGAAGAAACGGGGACTTACAGGGTGTTTTTTAGCAGTAGCCCTCCTGGTGTCGCGTGAAGATCTTGTGGTCTTTGGGAATACGGTACTCTATACACTCCAGGGGCTAGACAGCAGATGGGGACTGTTTAGCCATGGAGTGATAGAGATAGTGGTGGCGTGAGTGTGTTGTTTGGAAGGAATAGGAGTGCCAGTGCTGCTGCGCTTGTGGACTGACTCGGAGGGCTCTGCAAGTTTTTCCGGACTATGCTGCCGCTTGTTCCTTTCTTGCTGGTAGAGCCTTCTGTGTTAGGTGTGTTGTCTTCTGCCCTTCACCTTTGTTTTCATGCATTGTAAAAACTATTATGTATATAGTCAAACAGAGCTGCCCGGTAAACCGTAGGCAGAGAGGTAGAAGAGGACAACAATGGCGGGGTTACATTGTGCAAATGTGCCGCTTCGGCGGCGGATGGGTGTGTGGGCATTTACCACTCAAGCACACAAAAGTGGGGAACCTTGCACCTTCTATTATATTGCTTATCTATTTTTTTTTTGTTTATGGACGATTTTTGATGGTAGAAGGATGGATTGAGAGAGATGGTTTGGGGATCTTGACTAACACACACACACACACACACATGTGGGAGGCTCTCCAAGTTTTTTTGGACCATTGAGGGGGTCGGGTCGGTGCCTTCTTGCTGGAGTAGTCTTCTGTCTTAGGTAAGTTGCCTTTTGCCCTCCATCCCCTTATGGCTTGAAATATATGTGTATACATATGTATATGTGCAAGTGTGCGGCTTTGGCGGCAGACAGGTGTGTAGGCACTTGGCGCTGAACCACACAAACGCGGTCAACCTTGCATTTTCTATTATATTGCCTATCTCTACTTTTTTTGCGTTATGGGTGGCTTGTGATGATTTGTGAAGGGAATGAGAGAGAGAATCTGGGGTCTTTTAAAACCACACACACATACACACACACACACACACACACACACACACACACACACACACACACACACACCCTGAGTCTTGATCTGGGGCATGTAGGGGGGAGGTGAGTTGGAGGACATGAGATTGAGGTGGAGGGGAGGTTATTTTTGGTGTTTCGACACATTGACACATCGAGTCTTCTTCTTTGTCCTCCTCTGACCTCAATTTATGCGTGTATGATGAGCAGGGAGGCCTCTTCCATGTATGGACCCTCACTCGTTGAGTGTGAGATCATATCAGTGTTGCATTGTCAGTTTATAGCCTGATCAGGTTAGCCCGTGTCTGATTTGAATCTTCTGATATGTCCAGTTGCGTTTGTCCCGCCATGTTGATGATCATTGGACTTCGTAATGCTTGAGGTTCACTCCGGTTGGAATTTCTGCTACTGGTTATTTATCTTTTCTCTCTGCAGCATTTTGTTTTTCTCTTGCACTCACCATCTGTTGTGGTAAGTGCATGACTGGTTAGTACAAACACCAAGAGCCATGTGGTGATGCACCAAGAAAACGGATCGCTTATGATAATCATCGTGGCCGAAGCGAGATCGGAAGGCGGTCTTCGGCTGGTCCTCTGCGGCAACGCGGATCTGGTGGTAACCGCTACGAAGATCGATCTTCGTGAAGAAGTGGTTGCCTGCCAGACGATCAAACARYTCATCCGCRCGGGGCATAGGATAGCTGTTCTTAACCGTGTAACGGTTAAGGCCGCGATAGTCGATGCAGAGGCGGAGAGTTCCGTCCGCTTTGCGAGCAAAGAGGACAGGTGCACCCCAAGGGGAGTTACTGGGTTTAATGAAACCCAGTCGAAGGAGCTCCTCAAGTTGACGCTTGAGTTCCGTCGCCTCTGGAATCGAGAGTCGGTACGGTGCCTGATGGTGGACACGAGAGTCAGGCACGAGCTGGATAGAATGCTCAACACCGTGCATCGGGGGAATCCCGCTGTATGAGAAATACGGTGGGAAGACGTCGCGGTACTCTCAAATCAGGTCGCGAACGGCGGGCTCTAAGTCTGCCGTGAACCGTGTGAGTCCCTCAACGGCAGCGTCAGCACGAGACGTATGTGTGGACTCGACAGTCGACGGCGCAGGGGCCTGGGACGTGGAGGGGGTATCCGCAGGCTGACGGGTGGATGTAGATATGGGAGCCGCGAAGATGGAGGAAGGGTCAGGGGGATCGGGCTCCAGAGGTATGAGCTCAATCTCGGGACAGAGTGGATCATAGCGAAGAAGATCCATGACG